AAGAGGAGACTTCAAGGCTTTACTCAATTGCCCAAGGCCACAGGAAAGTCAGGGACACATTTAGCAAGTGATGGGAAGATCGTCTGATTCCCAGTCCATAACTTAAAGATCCAGACTGTGTTCCTGTCTGCAACATTTGTTAACTGTTCATTTCAAACAAAACATAACAGTGAATCCTTTCTTTATGGCTGCTTGTAAACATTTAAGATGCCTGTAGTTACCCATAACCTTTGTTTGCTCATCACTGTCAGCTGTCTTGACTGCCTTATTGCTTAGTCTCCTCCATATCACCCTCCATGCGGGGAAGATTTAATTCTTTAATTATGATACTCATGTTCTGAACTTTGAGCCATTAAAGGACAAATACAAATACTCTCAGAGCGGTCACTAGTTGAGAGAGAGGCAGTAACTTCAGTAAACACTCCTGTTCTAACCCAGAAGGCATGGAGACACCAATTGTCTCTTAAGCAAATAGATTTGTCAATTAATTAGTTTACAGTTTTAAATTATTGGTGTCCTTCAAGAAACACAAAGCAGGGAAAACAGTTTTGATACCATTTGGTTACGGGATGGATGGAGTAATGGAAGCAAAACCCTTTTTGGGCGACGCAAAGGTCTTCTGAGCTAGAAAAATGCCTATTTTTCTATTAAGGAAAATAATTTGGTTTTGGAGGGAAGCCGTTTTCTTTTTCACACTTGTGATTTCACCTTTTTAAATGATGTACTTAAATATAGATACAGTCAAACCCAGGAGAACACCTGTTCCGGTTTCCAGGTTAGAATAAGTTCACTCTGCATGTAGAGGCACCTGACTGGACCTAAACTATCTCCAAATCCAGGGAGCTGCTTTGTAAATGGGGTTTAAGGCAGATAGCTGATTTTAAAGTAAAAGTCAACAAAATGACGTCAATCGGCAGATGTGTTTAAACAGGAGCGGTCTTCTTATATAATACAGCACATTTCCTAGATTTGAGTTTTTTGTTTTTGTTTTTCAAAGCTGAATTTACTTATTTGGGCTCTCACTTAAGGAAGTTCCAGATAGCCTTCCGGTTAGAGGAACTAGCTACTCTTAGAGGGGGGAAAAAAGCCTAAATGGGGGTGAATTGGAGGTTTTCACTGAGCATAAGCTTGACCTTGCCTCATTGGTTTCATGGTTCTCATGGGTCCTTCAGCAAAATCCTCAGTTGCTATTGGATACGTAAAAGGAGGGATAATCATAGCCAGCTGTCCTCTCTGAAAAAACCCTCTCCTGATGGTTTATTACTTCTGAGGGGTTACTTTTCTACACCTTCCTGGGAGTGAGAGCACCAAGCAGATGAGTGCACTTTTACTAGAATGGTGGAACTCTTTGGGATTTCCTTTTGCCTGAACCCTCCCCCCACCCCCAAATCCTATCACCGCTGCCAACAGCAGACATTTTGCTAGCTAGCATTCTATGCTGACGTTTGTCCCTTCAGGCATAAATCATTGGAGCTGGAAACGACTTTAGGGGTCGCCCGGTCCAGTCCCCTAATTTTACAGATGAGAAAACTGAGACCCAGAGTGTTGAAGCAGTTTGTCCAAGGGCCCCACTTATTTAGTGGCAGAGGATGAACCAGAATCTGTTGAGCCTTCTCACTACCAGCCCAGTTCTCTTTCTGCTGTGCCATTAATGGACAGACCCTAGAAGTACGGCCCACAAGTGCTTGGCCTCCTATTCAGTCCAGCTTCTCAGTGGTAATCAAAGCTGTCAACTTAATAACAAACAATCTACCCCATAAACAAAATGAAGAACTCTACAAGGTCGTTAGTGAGAGAAGCTTTTCACACATGAAATAAATGTGTGTCTAAGCACTGTACGTATTTTCGTAGCGTGACACAGTTTGTCAGGCCATCTGTATCTGGCCAGGTGCAGATTCTAACTAGTGTACTGCATTTGAAACCAGGTCATATAATGATTTGACTGTTCCAAACATATCTAAAAGGGCAGTTTCTGTGTTCTGGTTTCTCAGATGTCAGTGTATGTAAGAAAAACAAACTCGTGGACTCGGTGCTTTATGGTGACCGGGAGTAGGGCAAAAGGAGACAAGCAGGCCATTTGTATCTATATTAATGACTGCTTCTTTCTGAATTTTATCTGAAATAAACCTTGTTTTTCTTTTGTATTCATTTACTTTTTTCCTCCTCCTCCCTATGCCTTTTATATATCTCTACTCTAGAAACTTTCCATTTAATTTTAAAGGTAGCTTTCAGCACAGATTAGAAGTTGTGCGGGGACAAAATAAGGTATCCCAGTGGGGTGGGGGCGAAAATTGGCCCACTTAGTGCGCTTATAAATTGTTTTGCTTGTTAGACTTGGTTTTTTCCACCTGATTATTGGAGATTTCTCCAGCCAATAAGGAAAGCAGACAACAACATTATCTAGGGAAAATTTGTTTCACTGAGGAACAGAAAATAAAGTAGTCCAGGCTTCCTGAGTCATTAAGAAATATGGTGTCTGATCCTTGGGAGAGAGCCCACTAATCATTGCAAGAAGTGGTGCTTGCCACCTAAAGGGAAAATATTGTAACACTGAAATCATATATAATTTCAATATCTATTGTGTTTCGACAAATTAGGGCCTCTCTTTCTATTTAGAACTAACACCCATTCTCTTTCCTGTAATTCTTTTGCTCCCCAGAAAGTCTGATTAAAGACCCATCTAAATTAGTTATTTGGAATGTAAGGGTGATGGTGACAATAACACTTTAAGGTTCATAAAGCACTTTGAATACATTATTTCATTAGAGACTTAAAACAACACTGTGATGTAAGGAACATAGGTACTATTTCCCCAACTTTACAGACTAGGACAGAAACTGAGAGAGCTTAAGTGATTTGCCTGTGATCATGCTGGGGCAAATGTCAAAGGTGAAAGTTGATCCTAGCTTGTCCCGACTCCAGATTCAGTGTCTTCTGCAATATGCCATGCTTTCTCCATTTCTGAAATTTAGAAATATGTACCATTTAATTCCTAGTCCTTTGGTTTGAAAAAAAAAATAGTTGTAGTCTTAGTGGAGGTCTTTGCAGACCTTTGAAGATGATGTCATATACCTTCAGTGGGCTTTTCTAGGGTTGTACATACCTGCAGTTAGACCTTGCTCTTTTCTCTTTGGAATGGGAATTTGAATTAAAATGTAATTCAAAAAGAGGAGAAAAGAGACCTGTCACTTTCTCTCTGTGTGTACTTAAGGAATGTTGTATTCAAGTATATATGTATATGAGTAAGATTAATAATACCTTTGGGCCAAGGAAGCTATACTTAAAATGAGCCTCTTCCAAGTTCATCTGAGCAGCTAAAATTGGGGCATTGGATTATTTTATTATTATAATTCAACAATCTTTGCTTTCTCTTACGGATAAGAGCAAAGGGTTCAAGGAAAGCTGGGAGGTGTATGAGAGTGGGGGAGTGGGGGTAGGGGAATAATTTGATTTACCAGAAGGAAATTTTATATGTATCGTAATTTTACTACAAATGTGAATCAGAGGGAGTTCATGCTTTGAGACAAATTTACGGTTAGCAGTAAGACAAAGGCCTGTTTTACTGCCATATCTTTACTTAATAAATCTTAATTACTATCTCTCCATAAATTAAAGTGTTTAGCATGCTGTATTCTAATCATCAGAGTTGTCAGTATCTAACATTAGTTTCACAGAGTAATTGCCTTTTATGCTTTTTTGAAAAGTACCTCCTTAGCCTTTTATTTTCTGTGCAGTGGAGGAATTACTAGCCAGGTTTTCAATGAGAAGTCCTCCATTTTAAAACTAGTACTTGGTTTGCAAAAATCTAAATACAAGTACAATGAATCCTTGGATCAAATAGAGGGAAGGTTAAATTGAATTAGTATAAAGTCTCAGCCTTGGAATACTATTTTCTAAAGAAAATGCAATTTTATTATCTTCAAAAACATTATAAAGTATGTCCCAATAGAGGTCCTAGAGGGCTTGCTTTAATGAATTAATAACAATTATTTGTAATTAGTAGCATCTATTTTCATTCTAACAGTATGCTAAAATCCCAAAAGAATGGTTTATTTTCTTAAGTAGGTTAAAATAAATCTTCTGTAATATTCTTATACTATTTTTGCTTAGCAGACCCTCTCTTAATTGATTGTACAAAGATAAACTTTGGCCAGGCCGAGGTTGCGTCATCACTAATTCCAAATTTTATGGTGTCTGAATTAATAGAGTTTTCCATTATTTCCAATGACATAACTCTGTGGAGTTCTTTGCAAACTTTAAAGCACTATGTAAATGTTGGTTATTGTTATAATTGTTTTCTCCTTTTAAGGAGAAGCGGCTATATTGGGACAAGTAGCTATATTGCTCTTCTTTTACATTCAGTGTTTTTATGGACTACAAGATTCAAACAGAAAAACAAGCAATCCCCCCAAACCTCCCCTAGTACCTGGCACATGTTAAGAACCTAATTAATGTTCATTGAATTGAATTGGTCAGTAGCTTGTTTGTTTGGCTTGAAATCTTTCTTGGATCAGCTAGCTGAGGAGCTACCATTGTCTCTTCTTCTTTTTTGATCGGTACTATATTATGGCAGAAAAGGGGGGGAAGAGACAGACAGGCAGAGGCAGGCTTAAGGTTATCTTTGAACTTGGCTACTCCTTGAAGTACCCACTGCATTAAGCTCTTTCTGGGAATTTTCTTTTCTTTTTTAATTCCCTCCATTTGGTAGAAGGTAGCTGAATAATGGGAAAAGATGCTTGGGTATTGGCAAATGAATCAGCCTGTGACTCAGCACCCTGCTCTGGTATACAGCAAGACCCACTGAACACATTTAAAAAATAATAATAATAAAGTTTTCCAAATTCCTAGTTGAGTAGAATTGGCTCCTGAACCTGAGCTGCCCACTCGGAGAGCCAGAGATAAAGCCCATCAAAACTGAATGTTCCCCACACATGTCAGCGTGTGGGAGAAGCATTTGTTCAGATGGAGGATCTGAGAAGAGCTGTGTCCTATTTCTATAGGTTCTCAACAGGAGATGTGTCAAGGCAGCTGTGATGACAGGCCTGGCTCTGAACTGCACTGTAAACAAGAAGTCTTTATTTGACAGAAAGCACTACTTCTACGCAGATCTCCCCGTAAGTAATGCTGTGTGACACACGTCCCCCTCTGCCATGTAGGAGATGGAGCAGCCCAACAGGAGGGAGCTGTCCATCCCAGCAGGGGCTTGCGCTGGGCCCCAGTGCAGACCCGTGCACCCTGAGGCTCGGCAAGATTGGACGCGATTGCCCTGATTGCTGACTCCTGGCTCGGCCTCATGCTTCTGGTGCCTTTCTTGTAATTGAACGGGGAGTAGAAAGAAGCCGATGTTCTCAGATTCATTTCAGACCCAGCATTTGGTGCTAATTGCTTGATAGGACAGGAGTACATCATGTGCCCATTGCATTGACCCTGTAGCAAATAAACACTTATAGCCATGTAAACGTGGTGGTAGCTTATTTCTCTCCTTTAAAGAACAGATCCTGTAATAGGGATGTCTCCCCTCTGCAGTGTTTCTATGATCTCTTACTGTGGCCCAGTAAATGGATATTTGCAACACGGTAAGCAGGGGCCTGAATCCGACTGTGGACCAGAAACCTGAACTCGTTAAGCTCCACACCAATTGCTCCACACCATTCTCTCCCTCCCCCTGCCCCCCAAAAAATGTAAGCCAACAGATATAATGTGAAAGCTGTTTTATAAAAATAGCTTACTGAGCCAGTTTGAACTGGATTAGATTTCTAATATTACTGAAATCAAACAAAACTGAAATATTGGAGTATTCAGTCTGCTGACCACTTTCAAGATTGTCACCTCTGCTAGGACTGGACTTGTGTCCTCTAGACTTTGTAGCAGTCACAGTGCTCTGTGCATAGTAGGTACACAGTAAACATCTCCCAAATGTTGAGTGTTATTTGGTTTCAGCACATAATAGTAAGCTTGGTTTTCTTCAGATGTAGATTAAACTATTTCTGGAGCATGATTTCATCTCATCAGGTAAAACTGAACTTTAATTGTGGATTGAGGTCTTTTCTGATGGGTGGCATTTCCCCCCTGTCCTTAAAACATACATTCAAGGCCCAGATTCTCCATTCACTTCTCTCCCTTTTCTGTCAGACATCTTGCTCTTTCACTTCTTGTGAGGGTGAACAAGAACCCGAGGACAACAAAATCCACTCTGCTACCCATTAGCGGTCAATCAGCAAGGGGTTATTAAGTGCTCGCTGTATTAGGTGATAGGAATACATAGAAAAGAAGGAACAGCTCCTGCCGTGAAGAGGCTTGTAGGAAACCACACACTCATTTTTAGATGTATTCCAGATAGATTGTGCAAGGTAACCTTGGTAGGGGGGCAGAGGGTGAGGAGACGAGGGGAAGTCACTACAGGTTGGGTGAGTCAGAAAAAGTGCGTTGCCAAGGTGGCATGTGAACTGAGTCTTAAAGGAAACCAGGTATCCTGAGAGACAGAGGGGAGGAGGAAGAGTATTCCAGGCATGGGGACAGCCCATATAAAGACACCTTTAGGAGACACAATAAGAGATACCAAGATGAGAGAAGGCATTGTGTGTGATGAATAGCTAGTTTGGCTGAACTCTAGAGTTTGTACAAGGGAGTTGGTATATGAGAAGGCTGGGAAAGTAGGAAGGGGGCAGATTATGAAGAGATTTAGATGCCAAGCAGAAGAGTTTGCATTTGATCCTAGAGGCCATAGAGAGCCTATTCTAGAGGAAAGAGAATGGAATTGACTGAGTAGGAGAGTGACATAGACCTGAACGCTTTGGTGGCTGAGAAAAGGGTACATTGGTGTAAAGAAAGACTTGGGAAAAGGAGACAAATTAAGAAGCTCTTGCACTAGTCCAGGTGAAAAATGATGTGTTAAATGGAAAGAAGGAAACCTATTTGAGAGATGTGGTGTAGGTACAAATGGTAAGACATGGTGACTGATAGGACACATGGGGTGAGTGAGAGATGGGTCCAGGAGGTGACCGGTGTTGTTAAGCTGGTTAACTGGAAGGATGATGGAGCCCTCAGCAGAAATAGAGAAGTTTCAAAGAGGAGTAGCTTTGGGGATAAAGAAAGATTTCTCTTTGAAACATGTTGAGTTTGAGTTGCCTACTCTATATTTTGAAATCAAAATGAGTAGTTGATGTGAAACTAGTTTTGGAGGGAGAGTGGCACTAGATACACAACCGAGGATTCATCTTCATTGAGACGGTCATTGATTACATGGGACCTGGTCGGGTCACCAAGTGAAAGGTATAGAGAGAAAAGAGGAGAAGGTCCAGTACAGATCCCAGGGAAAGAAGCACCTATAGTTAAGAGGCACAAAGTAACAGAGGAGACCGAGGAACAGTTAGACAAGTAGGAGGAGAACCAGGAGAGCGTGGCGTCATGAAAACCTGGAGAAGCGTCTATAGTGTTATGAGCTACAGGAAGGGCCATAAGAGTGAGAACTGGGAAAAGGTGATTCGATTTGGTGATTAAGAGGGTAACTTTGAAGAGAGCAATTTTAGTTACTCATAGGTCATGGATCACTGAGGGTTTAAAAGAGAGTGGCAAGAGAGGAAGTAGAAGCATTATGTAGAGACAGCTTTTTCAAAGAGTTTCACTAAGAAAGAGGCACTGTTGGTATAGTGGGTAGAAAGTCATCCTCACAAAGCCAGGAAGATGAGTGTATAACGATCACAGTAATAGCAACAACAATAATAATGGCTTTCATCATAACAATAATATAATAAATAATAATGATGAGGCTAGCTAACATTTATATAGTGCTTACAATGTACTCGGTAATGTGATAAGCACTTTATAATTATTTATAATCATTTGATCTTCACAACAACCTTGGGAGGCCGGTGCTATTATTATTCCCATTTTACAGATGAGGAAACTGAGGAAAACAGGTTAAGTGGCTTGCTCAGGGTCACACAGCTAGTAAGTGTCTGAGGCAGAATTTGAACTCAGGTCTTCCTAACAATTCCCTATACTACTTAGCTGCCTCCTTTGACACATACTGGGCAGATCTCTTCGCTTATTAGTGTGATAGACAACTCTCTAAGACTCCCTCTAAGTTTCAGAGAAGGTGCCAATATGTGATGGTGGAAAAAATTTATTCACCTGGGAGTTGACTACACCAGTGAATTCACAGGTCCAGCCCCAGTCCCATCTCCTTTCACTGATGAAGGATGATAGCTATTGAGGATGATGGGGTCAATGAGGAGATTTAGGGATGGGAGAGATTTGATCATGTTTGCAGATGGCAGGGAAGGAGGCAGAAGATGGAGGGAGAGTGAAACTTAGAAAGGATGATAGTTGAGGTTGTTTGCTGGAGTAGACAGGATGGAGTGGGATTAAGGGTGCACATCAAGAGTTTGATGTTGGTGAGAAAGATCTCCTTTTCATCAGATACTCTAGTAAAGGAGATGTGGTATTAGGAAAGACATCAAGAGCTTTTGAAATGTAGAGTTTGAAAGAGGTGAATGATCTGAATTTTCTCTAAAAACTACAAACAGTAACAATACTCGATTTGGCTAAAAACTTTTTTCCCTTTTAAAAAAAAATAGATTTTTGTTGTTCTCTTTTGTTTTTCTATCACCTTGATCTTCCCCTCTCCCAGACAGCTTCTCCCTTATACCAAAGAATCTAAGTTAGGTTTTCTTAATAATGGATTTTTTTTGTCTCTGGCCTCAGTCGGCTCAGGTAATCAAATTTCTTGGCAGCATATTTGAGAGGTTTTTTTTTTTCCTAAGTTCTTATTTATACCTTTACTTTTACATCCTAGTCGTGTTCATCTTTTCCAAGTTCCCATAGTTTTCCACTACATTCATAAACCACAATGTTTTCCACCATTCCTCCATTGATGGGCCCTGACTTTGTTTCTAGTTTTTTGCTACCATAAAAATTGTTGCTATGATCATTTTGTTGTATCAGGCCTTTGTTTCTTTCTTTGATGTCCCTGGGTTGTGCGTACATTAATGTGATTACTGGGTCCAAATGTTGGAACGGTTTAGTCTTACAAAGTGGATTGTTCACACAGCTTTTCACCCTCCACTTTGAAGGTCATCGTTGTACCACTGCATCTCGCTCTTATTTTCACTGATCCTTCCAGCCTCTAGTAGTTTACTCCTCACGCCCTTACTTAACTGGAAGCCTGTGCTGATTTGTGCGTTCAAAAACAACTCATCCATTTCACTTGAAACAAGAGGAGTGGAGGGAGCCTTTGCAACATCAGTTGGCATTTTTGTTATTACGTGTCACAGCGTTTTCTGGCAAGGGAAGCCGGGGCAGGAGGACACCTCCCATGCTCAGGTAGCTTTAAAGAGCGAAAACAAAATGAGGCTAAATGTTGTAGCGACTGCTGTTGACAGTGTTGAATGAGGGGACCAGAATGCTTAGCTGGCACTGTTTAATAAGGATGGTCTGTCAGGAGCCCAGTAATAAGATGCAGAGTTTAGGCTAATGAGCTAAATGGAAACAATAAATCCTCCTCTTAGGGTCCTCTGACAGTGGGATTATTGTTATTCCTGAAAACAGCACTTTGGCAGGGGAAATGGGCTACTCGTTGTTTATTGTCACTTGCTGTTTGAGGCAGAGGGTGACTGTGTTTTAATCTTCCTAATGAGAAATTGGGAGAAGGGAAAGTTGAAGACCAGACTTTGCAAAGACTGGAGCACATACGGTGTAAAATGGGTTGGGATGGGGAGGAGGGCGGTGTAGGCATTTTAAAAAAAATTAAATGGTACCACCATTTTGTAAAATTTTTTAAAAAATTCAAAGCAAATGCCAGGCTTTTCATTTTTCAACTTGATGGGTTGGGCTAGTGACTGCAACCCATGCTTGCATGCAGGCTGGATACCAGATCACCCAACAAAGGCTTCCCATCGCCGTGAACGGGTGCTTGACGTACAGCCTTAGCGTGGGAGCCCATTGGAGTCCATCAGCTACCAAAACAGTGAGAATCAAGCAGATCCAGCTGGAGCAAGACAGTGGCAAGAGCCTTCACGATGACACGAGGTCCCAGACGCTCATTGATCTGAACCGGGCGGGTAGGCTGATTCTTCTCTCTTGACTTCTTCTTCCATGTCCCTCAGGAAAAAACTAAAGTGCTGATATTTCTAGAGGGTAAGGATCAAATTTAGAAATTAAAAAAGAGAAGAGAGAACTCATGCCCCTGGTTCTTTCTGAAAGAAGGGAGGGAGGAAGGAAGGGAAGTAGCTTTTATTATCCCCATTTTACACTTGAGGAAACTGAGGCAGCCAGAGGTTGCCCAGACCTCTCCGAGGGTTATCCAGCTAGTAATCTGAAGTTAGATTTGTACTATGGTCTTCCCGACTCCAGGCCCAGAGCTCTATCCACTGTACCACTTAGCGTCTCTTAAGTAATCCAGAGTTTTCTTAAGTAAGACCCAAATGTTTTTATCTGTTGATCACATTGCAGCCTAATATGTCAGAGTGAAAAGCTCCAGTTGGGACTCATTCCATGTCTTTTTGGTAGGAGTCGGCCTTATGGAGGTTGTCATGGAACCCGATATGTCCTGTGGGGCTGAGGCAGCGACAGCCGTCAGAGAGCTTCAGTTGATTCTTCGGGCCCTGGGAACCAGCCAAGCAAATATGGCAGGTAGGAGAAGGCAGAAGTGTTTTCCTGTGCTTCCATACCTCCTTCCTCTTTGCTCCCCAATTTTGTCATTGCCTTTTGGCCTTGCTTTCCATCTGTCACAACCATCTTAGATGCTTTTTATATCCTCTGATAATCTTTTGTTGTCTTCAGTATGTGTTTTTGAATTGCCTTGCCTTTTCTGTAACAATAATAGAGACAGCGGAGAGCAAGAGAGAGGGGCATGTGAATAAGAATCATGAGAATTATCTCAGCTTCATGAAGGACCCCATTTTGTGAAGTGAGATGTTCACCTTCTGTATATAAGTTTCTATCAACGTAAAATGGAGTTGATATTTGCTAATGGCCTTCAGTGTCATAATGTTGGAAATATTACTGAAATAGTATGTTGGAAGAAATTAGAGTTTCTCTTCTTCGAAGAAGTATCAAAGATAATTCTTTGTTTGGCAAGTTGTATCTTAAGGGCATTGGGTAGGTCTGGCTGGTGTTGGGGATGCATCAGTGTAAGCTAAATCTCTTATTTTACCAGCCTCATCTTTTTTCATGTAATTTCCATCCATGTACAACTGAAACCAGAAATTAATTAATCCAAAAGAGACATGACATTTACGTGGCTTTAAAAATTAGATCAAACCTTGAATTCACTGGAAAATAAAATGTGTAGCAGTTAAGTGGTGCAGTGGAGAGAGAGCTGACCATAGAGTCAGGAAGACCCAAGTTCTGAGATCACTTCAGACACTATCAGTGTGGCACCCTGGAGGAGTCATTTAACCTCTGCCTGCCTCAGTTTTATCATCTGCAAAATGAAGGTGATAATTGTACCTGACTCCCAAGGTTTCTGCAAGCATAAAATGACGTAATATTTTAAAAGGTGTTTTGCAAACCTTTAAGCACATTATAATTATTATTACTTATATGTTTACTTATAATTAGTGATATTCATTATATAATATTTGATGTCATTAGTCCTTCTCAAAAATGAAGGATGAACAACAGCAACATTTATATAATGATGCCAGCTTTTATTGTTGTTATTGTTATTAATAGCACCAAATTTGGAGTGTTCACAGGTTTCAGAGAAAGAGATCATAGACTGTCATCTAAATATACACAAGTTCAGTTTCCTTGTGGATCTTTTCCTTACTTATACCTCTCCATCCCAAGCCCTGACTTCCTCATAACTACTTTTTTTCTAAATTCAATTTTATTTTATTTTCATTTCAGAATTCTCCCCCTCTCTTACCTACTGAGAAAGCAAGACCAAAACCTCTTACAAATACATATCAAGCAAAACAGATTCCCACATTAGCCACATCCAAAACAAAATATGCTTTGATCTGTACTCAGACCCCCACCTCCCTATCTGGAGGTGGCCTGCTTTGTTCCTCCAGCCTTCAACACAAAACAATCTCTGAAGGAGCAGGAAAAAAAAAAGCAGAGTTGGCGTGTCTAGTTTGCCCAAGCCCCACCCACGGTGTGCGAATTTAGGTAGTGATGAGACATCTTCCCACTGTGCCATGTTGATGATTCACCAGCATGACTAAGCATAATGGTGACTTTCTTTTGAAAGAAAGGTTTACTCCCTTCCTTTCTTCCAAGGAAGTTCCCTGAATACAAGGATCACAAGAGTTGGAAGAGCCCTGCAGGTCATCTAGCTCACCCTTTCCCCAGCCAGGAAGCCCTTCTACACCCAGGCCCACAAGTGGCCATGCAGCTTCTGCCTGAAAACCTGTAGTGAGAAAGGGTCCACACCTTCTCCATCAGGCCTGTTCTCCCTTTGGACAGCTTCCTCTCATCACACCTAAATGTGCCTTTACAACTTCCCCATCTTACCCCTTGTTCTGCCCGCTAGGGCCAAGCAGAAAAAGTTGAGTCCTTCCACATGGCAGCCCTTCAAAAATCTGAAGACCTGGGTTCAAATCCTACTTCTGATCCTGTAGGAAGGATCATGTATGACCTTGGGCAAGTTGTCTGCCCTTCCTGGGCTAGTTTCCTCATCTGTCAAATGAGACAGTTGGACTTAATGACTTCTAAGGGCTCTTCCAGCTCTAGAGCTAATTTTGTCTTCTTGCCCATGTCCCCTTAAATCTTTTGTTCTTTAAGCTAAACATCCCTTGTGCTTTCAGTTGATTCTTCTGAACCATGATCTCTAATCAAAGCCCTGCCCGTGCTCTCCCTCCTCAGTCACCCGACCTCTCAACACATGCCTCTTTGTTAATGTCCTTTCTTCCTCAAATGTAGCACCGAGAACTTCAGACAGTACTCCACCCAGTCTGGCCTGGGCTGAGCCCAATAAAACTATCACCTCCCTCATTCTGGACACTGCACTTTCTCTTAATGATGCCTCCATTTATGTTAGCTTTTTGACCTGCCACTGAAGGCTTTTGACTCACTTTGAGTTTGGAGTTCCCCAGGTCCCCCATGTTTTGTTTTGTTTTGTTTCATTTTTGCCCTATTCATGCTTCTCTTTCAGCACTTATGAAGTTGATCATTTGAACCCATATAAAGAATTTCACATTTATCCCAGTTAAATTTCACCTCGTTAGATTTGACCCAGCATTTTAGCTGTTAACCCCAGTAACAAATATACATAGTCAAGCAAAATCAATTTCCTCATTAGCTATGTCCAAAAATGTCTATCTCAATTCTGCCTCTTGTGTCCATCACTGCTCTCTCAAGAGATGGGTAGGATACTCCATCATTGGTCCTCTGGAATCATGGTTAGTCACTGCATTGATTCACAATTCACAAGGGATTTTTCGATTTGTTGGTCTTTACCGTGTTATTATATAGTTCCTCTGGTTCTTCTCACTTCACTCTACATCTTTTCCTACAAGACCTACCAGTTCTCTCTGAACCCACCACTTTCTTCTTCTTCTTCATCATCATCATCACCCATGAGTTTCATGTCAGACTCACAGAGAGGCCACTAATTTGTACATAAGGATCCCTACAGGCCACTGATTGACATAGTTTTAAAAGGTAATGTTATCTATGTTTTACTGTATTTTTGTTTATTTTGTTAAATATTTCCCAATTACATTTTAATCTGTTTTGGGCCACACTCAGGAAGGATAAGTGTTTGACATCTCTGCCTTAAAGTACAATAATATTACATTACCTTCATGTACCCTAATTTGTTTAGCCATTCCCTAATTGACAGGATTCCCTTTAGTTGGTTGAAGTTGGTTGGTTGAAGGAGTGCTTTGCTATGGCAAAAAGAGCTGCTATAAATATATTTTGTACATATGGGTCCCTTTCCTCTTTCTTCAGTCTCTGGAGCTACAGACCTAGCAATGGTCTCACTCAGTCAAAAGAGTTTGCACAGTTAGGTATGTTTGGTGACATAGTTCCAAATTGCTTTCCACAATGACTGAACCAATTCATAGCTCCACTGACAATGTATTATTGTGCCTATTTTCCCACAGTCCCCCAACATTTGTTGTTTTTCTTTTCTTTTCTTTTAGGTCAGTTTTACCAATCTGCTGGGTATGACATAGAACCTTAGAGTTGCTTTAATTTGCATTTCTCTAATTACCTGGGATTTGAAACAGTTTTTTCACACGGTTACAACCATTTCTTAATCGAGGCATGATGGCTTTTAGTGATCACAGGGACCCTTTCTAAATGCTCACAAATTATTCCTCTAATGAGAATTTTGCCAGGAATCAAAGTCAAGCTTATTGGCCTATAGTTTAAAGAATCTACCCTCTTTCCACATCCACACTCCAGTCCCTGGCCACTCTTCCATACCACAGAATCTTCCAAAGATCACTGACAATCACACATGACGTTTGTTTTTACTACTTCAGGATGTAGTTTGCCTGAGCTTGGTGATTTAAATCCATTGAGCACAGCTGCTGTGGGCCCTCACTTATCTTGGGTCTCAACTCCATCTTAACTTAAAGAACATCAGTTCTTTGGAAGTGATAATAGAAGTAAAATAAGAGATAAAGAGTTTGCCCTCTCATCTGTCATCACTCCATCCACCCCCTTCTTGTCCCTTCTTGGGTTGTCCTTCTGCCAATGCCACAACTAAAGGCTTGCCATTTCAGGAGCAGAAACAGTTAACACCAGAGCTTTGGTTGAATCTGAAGGTGGAGGGATCCCCGGATTTATCATCCTTTCTCTGATACTTGGAAAGATCTGAGATTTCACTAGTATGAGAGATGACGCAAATCTCAGCCTTTCCATATTCCCTAAAGTTACCATGGCCAACAAATCACAATCAGTTCCTAACTGAACATCCTAAGGTGAGTGTCTTTATACCTGGGGGAGCCTATTTGGAGAGCAGGCCCATAATTGAAACCTTTCCTGCTTTCTAAAACCTAACTGGCTTTAGTTCATGGCCTTTGAGAAAGGATCCACACTCACCTCTTCACCATGAAGAGGCATCAGAGGAGGATCTGAGTAGAGGATGGATTATCCTTAGTAACTGTTCCTTGGTAACCATTAAAGACTGAAAAAAGTACAGGCACATATGTTTGGAGTGCGTAAGTGTGAGCTGCTTTCAGATTTGCTTGGCAGACGAGGAAAAGCTCTCCTCTGTTTTGGAGCAGGAGAACTCTACTGCTCTCATCTCCATACAGTCTTTTTCCTTGTCGAATGTAAACAAAAAGTGCAGAGTTAGATAGCAATCCAATTATGAGCTATGTGTTAGGTTTTGTGACACTTTAGCAAAGCTACCACTGTTTATTTTAATAAAGTAGATTCTCCCCAGAATAGCTGCAATTCCTACCCAACCTGTAGAAAAATAAATGGACCACCTGTTAGCTGAGAAATGGTCCCATCTGGGAACCCGTCATGAGAAAAACTGTAACAGCAAGAATTCAGCCTGTGACAGCAAGAGAGTTCATTAAATCCCATTGGTTCTTGTGAAGATGGGAGTAGTTTTCATCCAGCATCACTGTTAGCACAGTAGCCAGGCAGCAAGGGGCAATTCCAAAGGGCATTTGGGAAATAGTTGTTTAGAGGCAGGGGTGGGGGGACCCCAGTTTCTTAAG